TTTTATTTTTTTTTAAATAAGTTAAATAATTTGAAAAAATATCAAGATTACCTTAACATATTATGAAAAATTCTGCTTTCTCATAAGCAAATAAGAAAATAAATAAATAATTCTTGGTCGATATAAACACATAAGACCATTTGAAAAAAGACCTGTTTTCATCACAGAGTGTTTCTTTTAGTTTCTTTCTTAACGTCGGCCGTCATTCTATTTTTGAACAGGAAAAAACAGCTAACGGTTCGGTGTGATTACTTTTATTGTTTGCATTAGTTATTAACTAGCTTGGTTAATATTATACACATGCTTCCTGAAACATTTCCACACCACCATGATGTGAATAACTCAAGGAAAGAAAACCTTAAAAACTGTCCAACATGTAACTCCTTCTCATTCATGCATAGATCAGCTAGTGCAGCAAATTGAACCTCTGGTGCAAGATAAGCACAAAGTTAATTCACACCAGCACATCAAACAAATAAAATCATCTCGCAAGTTCATTTTTTGAGTTTTCCTATGTACAGTGTTGTCCTGGTGAGATCCCTGATGAGAAGATCCCAGGGTATGGCACAGAGCAGACGCTCTCACTGTTTTCCACCGTCTGTCACCTGGGAAAGCGCCCGGCAGTGCTACTGTTAAAGACCCAGGAGCATTTGTGCATGTGTGCATATATTGCATTACAACGGCACAGGTAGAAATTCTGCCTAGCATTGATGTGGTTTCACAATGAGATCCACTGCTTGCTTCCCGTGTCCACCTTTTCTTAGATATGACTTATTCATGAGCTGACTTTACGACAGGTCACAGGTGGGTGGACCTGGTTAGTTTCTCATACGCAGACCTGGAATGGAGGTTTCAATTTGGAAAGCTTGTAGAACTGGCAATGAGGCACAGCCAGGCTTTTCCTGCCTGTCTTGGCCTTTTAGACTTTTTGACAAACCTACAAAACCACCAAGAGTTCAGCACCCAGCCCTGCGCTCTCTGGCTTGCTGTGAAGCTATATTTATTCTTTTAGTCATGGTCTTTTTCACAGGGGCTGTCTGTGGAGCTAATGCGTGTAATTTGGCTATTTCTTAGATTAGAGGGACTTTCTGAAAAAAGAAAATGCAAGATAAGATCTTTCTGCGTTGGTTAGAACATATGTCCCACTTTCCTGTCTCATCACCCATAAAATATCTTGATAAGGTTAAATGGTCTCACTTCTGGCTCAAGAAAACTGAACAACTCAGTCCAAGCTGCTGTGGATTCTTTGTGGTATCTGACTTGTCAGTCAGGCAGACCAGCACTGGTTTTTGTGGTTCTCTGTGTCCATTATGTCCGTTGTTTTACCATAGTGACTGGGACAACAACAACAAAAGTTCTGCAGTAGCTACTGATGAGGTGTGTCTTGACTCTGCAGCAGATTTCACAGGACTTTATAAGGTCATCTTTGAAGAAAAGGTGGATTCCACCAGAAAATGAGCCAGATGCCTGAGTGCCAAACTTATGTTAAGGGACAGTGGGCACTTCAGGGGTCATGGGAACATGGGCGCCATATCCGCTCAGGCAGCATCAGCGGCGGCGAACAACTAAATATAGAAAAGTCCAATACAAGACCAGGGTTGAAGGGGAAAACCAGTGAAAACCCTTTAAGGCATTAAAGATGTACCTTTAAAGTTATGTCAAAGAAAACAAACCTCAATCTAAAGCAAAATGTAAAAAAAAAAGAAGGCAAATTTACATTTGTGCATAAAAAATGTATTTGTTTCCTATAAAATAAAAGTTGACATTGTTGCAATGTTGAGGTTTAGCAAAAAGAGCTAGATAAAAAAGTGGAGGGCTAAAGTCCACAATCCATCCAAGTTTTCTTCTCCTCAAAGACCCAGTTTCTCTCTGACCTGCATGAGAGAGAAGTGGGTGGCTCTAATCAGCCGTCTTTCAGAAAAAACAGTTTTCCTTCGACTGTTTGGTTTCATCTATGACCTGCTGGACCTCTAAAAGGAGCTGTGGACTGTATTTTTAACCCCGTCTCATGGGGGCCTTCTCACTGCGCTCAAGCATGGTGCTGCTGGCCCCCATGGTGGGGGGTAACCCAGCGTGTTTCAGTCGGTGGACTGGTGGCTCGCGTAGCAAAAAGAGTTGCTCTAACGTCAAACCACATTGGCTGTCGGTGGTAAAAATAAACACCCTTGTCTTCATCGACAGGAAGTAAACCTGAGTCACTTTACTCAGACAGAGGACATTTTCCCACTAGATTTATAGTGTGAGACATTACCGAGTTGGTGTTTTAATTTGTAAAATAAACTACGGCTTCTGCCGAAAGGCTTGAACTTGTGCGTTGGCTGCTTTTATATTTTGTTAGTTATTTTATTTTGTTGTCATGCTGCCAGAAAATTTCTGGTCTCACGTTGAAAAGTGCCAGGGCCATGAAGATAAACCATAGCTTCATGACAATAGTTACATTTAATTCTACAACCTAAAAGTATAAAAGTCAAAACTGCAAAACACAAAGATTGAAACACTGTTGCTAAATAATGTTTTATGGTTGTATTGTAACGTTCTTTTACAAGTCATTTTTAAACCCTAAAGTTCAAATTTAAGACAGACGTGGATAAACCTTTTAGTTTTAACTTGTAATGCAGAAAAAAATGATGTAGTTATTATTATTGTTTAATATCTTGTTGTTTGATGTCATGTGTTATAAATGTATTGGGTTTATTTTTCACAGATTTTCTTAGATAAAGACGAAAATATGGGACGAAAGAAAATACAAATATCTCGTATTCTTGACCAGCGGAACAGACAGGTGGGTCTACACACACAAACGCGCGCACGCACGCATGCACACGCGCACACACACACACACACACACACACACACAAATGCTTGTTTTAATATCTTTACAGGGACTTTGTATTGATTTCCATTCATTTTTCATTAATTTCTATAGCCTAACCCTAAACCTACCATTACTAGTACATGCCTAACCCTAACCCATCCTCAATTCACACCTTAGTCCTAAACCTAGCCCCTAACCTACCAACGACACTTGAACCTTATGAGGACCAGGCCTTGGTCCCCACAAAGAGCAGTTGGTCCTCAAAATGTAGTGTTGAAAAATGGTCCTTACAAAGTAACATAAACAAGCGCACACACACACATACACATTTAAATAACTTTTGTAACACATTTGCTTCAAAATATTCATGAAACTTTATTTCTCTATGATGCTAAAAATATACAGTAGTCCCTTGTTTATCGTGGGGGATCCGTACCCTGAAGCCTCTCGATAAGTGAAAAACTGTGAAGTTGTGAAGTAGTAATAATAGTACAAGTAGTAAATAATAGTTTATTTTAGTATATATATATATATATATATATTTAAATATATTTATATTTATATATATATAAACCTTGAATAACTACTGTATTGTATTGTGACACGAGAAGAACATAACTTGTTCAGTGTACAAAATAAGAATTTTAGGATATTCTAGGCTTTATATGTTTAAACGTTCAATGATTTTAAGTTTATATTAATACATGATATAAAACAGCTTCAGAGACCTCTGATAAAAAAAACATTTCATAGCTTTCCTACAGATTAGTGTTTATTAGTAATGAGTTACAGAAAGGTCAGTCAGTTTGTAAATTATTAAGGTGTGAATTGTGCAAAATGTCATAGGGCCATGCAGTTTTGTCTTTGTTTAATTTTATGCTTTTTTCAGATACAATGTTGGATTTTACAGATCAAGAAAGCAATTCAGGAAAAACAAATGTTCTATGTCGTATAGGCTTTGCCCTTTAAGGCTGTCACTGATGGGTTTATCCCGTTATGCGCAGCATAAGCACTGAAAAAAATTTAGTCCACGCCCACCTGCTGTGTGGGCCCCACCCGGTCCGTATAAATTATGTTAAGAGCGGGAAATCGGCTCCCATTTTTTCTTCAGCGAGCTAAAATAGCACTGTCAGAAGAACAAAGAAGGAAAATTGTGTAGATGACCAACCTTTGTTAAGGATGCTTGGCCCGGCAGTCAACCTCCGGTCGTCCTGTGAGTTCTCCTCCCCGAGGAGAAGATGACGAGCAGTCATATTCCAAGGTAAGCGCCGAGGAATATTTCCCAGTGACAGGTCACTACACGCTGGACAACGCCATCTTGTATTTTTTCCTCTTATCGCCGACCCTCGGAGCGAATCGGATGGTTCCTCTGGGATAGGCGTGCTGAGCTGCAGCCCCCGCTGCTCATTCCCTCCTGGGGAGCGTAGTGTCGGTGGAGGGGGGCTGAGTGAATGCTCACCCCATCCCACCTCGTTTTCGCATCGGCGATCCCACCGCTCCCGGCCGACGGCGCCCTCAGGGGTTGCCCGGCGTAACCCAGGAGGAGGCTGACATGAAAGGACCCTTTTTTACGTCCTACGCCTTTCCCACCAGTTCGGATGATCCGGCAGGAAGGTTGTTTACTGGGCTCCATTCCGGCTCAACGTCTTGACCCATATGGCCTTGTGCTCCCAACAGGACGTCCTACGGGCGAGGCCACAGACGGGTTCTTTCCTGGTAGATTGGGGGAGTCGGTCCCCAGTCCGCACCCATCACCAGAGTGGAGGGGTTCACCGAGCGGGGCTATCCCTCGGTAACCCCCCTGGAGCCAAGCCTCGCGGAAGCTTCGGAGCGAAGCTGTCCAGGTCGGAGCAGCGTCCCGTCCCTCCGGAGAAACACGAACCAGACGGTGACCACGCTCTCCAATCGAGCCCATCAATGTGTTTTCAGGCAGCCGCAGCTAGCAACAACATGGCGCTGCTAGCATATAGCATGTCCAAAGGGGCTGAAGGCCGCAGACCTGCCTTGGAGACAAAGAACTCCCTCTGTAAGGCAGCAGACGTTATCTTCACCATGTGTGCCTCTTCTACGGGTTGCCTGTCGAGGATTGCAGCGTGGATGACGATGATCCAACAATCCACCTGGTTTCATTACTCTCCCACGCTGCGGGAGAAACTGCACAAAGACCTGATGGAGGGCCCATCACGGCGGACGCGCTGTTCGAGAGCAGCTTCAAAACCATGCTGGCGAATTGAAGCAGTCGGAGGAGGTGCCAGAGGCTGTGCGCCACCCCATCAAGCCGCGCGGCTCATCCCGCCCCCCCGGCCCGCTGGAGGGACCGTCGCTAGCAAAGCATCAACGTTTCCACGGCCGCGGCTCTCGCTCAGTTCCACCACCAGCCCCGCCCGTCAGAATCCAGCCCTCTTCATTCCGGCAACCTGCAGTTCAGCGTTTCCCCAGAGTTCGCCTGCAAGACAGCGCTCTGGGCAAACAAATCGCAGAAATCAAGAGGGAAAAGTTTTTAAAAAATGACGGTCTGCAGAGGGTGTGCGTAAAAGTGACACGAAGTGGAAATAAATCATCATTCAATGATCAAAGTGTCTGTTTTTTAGCCAGTCTGTAAGCTCGGATGAACTCACAGCGGCTGCGCACACATCCTTCACACATAACGAGCCGGTGTCCTTAAATAAAGGTTTTTTAAACTCACCGTCGCTCCAAGACATGACGAGTCGATCACACGACACAATGGTAAGCGAAAATAACTCGTTATCATCCCGAGCGGCACAATCCTCACCCAAGCGGTGTCAAACTCGCACTCGTGGGATGAAACAGCCTCCATCCAACGGCGCTGCGTTGATGTTGGCGCACACACACAGCTGCCCGGTGCTCACCGGCTCACATCGGTATTAATGTGGACAGCAGGCTGGGTCAGGTGGAGGTCCTCGCTCTCACAAGAGCGACACTTGCCTCACCGAATCAAACGCGGGCAGCCATCACCCACCGCGTCTCAGCGTTCAGTAGCTCACGGCAGCATAAGCGTGAGGCAGCTGAACGAACCCGGTGACGAGTCCCGCCTCCCTCCAGCGAGAGCGGTGCGCGCCCCTCCAGCGAGAGCGGCGCGCGTCCCTCCAGAGATAACGTGTGTTCCCGCGGGGCTCGCAGCCCTCACTCCAACAGCACGGCGTAGATGAAGTCACGCCCTCTGCCTCTCAACGTTCGCACAGCGACGTCAAACGCGCAGCCCCATGGCGTCATCAGCTGTCACACGCTTCGCCTCAGCACACCGGCCCACCTGTACATGAAGGTTGGTCCGCGGTCCGAACGCAGCACACGGGCGCGTTCAGAGCCTTTTCGAGGAAGCCTCGCCTTGGGTCACGCAGAAAACATTCCCGCGACGCATGACGGCGGTTGAGGGGCGGACCGCTGACAGCCGTACAAAACGTGACGCATCGCTTAAACGCACGTTCACTCCACGAACGTTACGTAGAGTGGCTAAAACATGCTTGCCGGTCAGATGGATGGACAGGGTGTTATGCAAATAGTTACAAGTTACAGTTTGCAACCCGACCCCCTCCGTTCGGAGGAGTTAAAGAAATGGTCCTGTCATCATCAGATCAAATCTCATCCCTAAATGCAGAAGTCCAAGTGTTTCTGATAAAAGTAATCTCCAGAGTTCCCCAACGGAGAGAAAACACAGGGTTTTACTCACGTTACTTCCTGGTTCCCAACGGACCGGAGGGATGAGACCGATCTTGGATCTGTCAGTTTTTTCAACAAGGTGATCATGGACAGACCGTTTTTCACATGTTGACAACCAGACAGCTGTTGTACAACATCTAGAGAAACGCATACCGATCATCCCAAAACACAGAAAATTCCTGCGTTTTTCTCTTTTCAGGGGATGAAGTATCAGTACAACGGCTGCCTGTCATCGTACGTTCTCAGTGTGTGGAGACAGCCCTGCATCTGTTACACAGAGCAGGGATGAGAGTTTTGTTTTACCTGCATGATCTGCTGCTCATGTCACATTCCAGACAGGAAGCAGTGATGCAGGCTTAGGTGTTGACATCACACCTGTTAAATCTGGGCTTCGCCATAAATTGGAAGAAAAGCTCGATTTTCCCAGCCCAGACAATTGTTTATCTGGGAGTGGAATTAAATTCAACCACCATGAAGGCTCGTTTATCACAAACGAGGTTCGACACTTTTAAAAGTCAACTCCGCCATGTAAGACCTGGCAGAGTGGTAACAGCTGTTTTCCGTCATGAAGCTGTTAGGAATGATGTCATCAGCTCACACAGTGGTTCCGCTGGGTTTGTTACACATGAGACGCCTCCACAGGTGGTTTGCGCGTCTGGATCCAGTAAAACAAAAGAGACGGATGATCACTGCCCCTCCCTCCGTGAGAGCAGACTTCTGACACTGGGAAAACACCCTGGTTCTGTCAGAGGGAGTTCCCGTCAGCAGACCCACGTCACACGTGTCAGTCTTCACGGACGCGTCGCTGTCAGGCTGGGGGGGGGGCATGCCTATCTCAAGCAGTAGGGGCGCTGTGGCCCCACAACACATCAGCCCACATCAATGTTTTGGAGTGTCGCACAGTGCTGAATGTGATTCAACACTTTGCTCCTGTGCTACAGAATCAACACGTGTTGATTCACACAGACAACATGGTGACTGCTGCGTACATAAACCGCCAGGGGGGTGTGCGTTCAGCCCAGATGTTACACACTGCGCAAAAGCTACTGTGTTGGGCTCACCAAAACCTGCTCTCCATCAGAGCAGTTTACATACCCGGTGTTCTGAACAGAGGGGCAGATGTGATGTCCAGGGGCGGTCCACGTCACGCGGACTGGACCCTCCATCCAGACCTGATGGTTCAGACGTGGCAGAAGTTTGGCAAGCAGCTGTGGACCTGTTTGCGACACGAGAGAACGCTCAGTGTCAACTATGGTTTTCCCTGAGCCCGCAAGATGATCCACCGCTGGGGGTGGATGCATTTGTTCATAGCCCATGGCCCAAAACGCTTCTGTACGCGTTTCCCCCACCTCCTCTGATTTTACGGTTCCTGAACCGAGTTCAGGAGGAGGGATTGACAGCTCTTCTGGTGGCTCCCGAGCGCGTGAACGCACCATGGTTCCCAGTCCTGCAACGTCTGTTGTCAGGTCGTCCGTGGAAACTGCCGTGGAGGGAGGACGCTCTCCTTCAAGCAGGAGGAGCGATCAGGAGTTACCCAGAAATAGGCCAGCACCTGTGGGTCTGGCCGCTGAGCGGTCCCGCTTAGAGAGGATGGGTCTCCCACAGGAGGTAGTGCGCACAATCCAGGATTCACGTGCTCCATTTACCACAGCTCTGTACACATCAAGTGGACGGCTTTTCAGCGCTGGTGTACAGAGAAAGGTGTAGAGGCCACCTCATGCCCATTAGGCGGCGTGTTGTCTTTTCTACAACAGCTGATGGATAGGAAGTTGGCATTCAGCACGATTAAAACGTATGCTGCAGCCATCTCTTCCTGCCACGAAGGGTTCGGAGACAGAACAGCTTTTAATCACCCGCTGATGGAGCGGTTTCTAAAAGGTGTACAGAGACGCAGGCCTGCTTCACGCCCACTTGCTCCACAGTGGGATTTAACGCTGGTACTGCGAGCCATGATCAAAGCTCCATTTGAGCCTCTGGATCAGTTTTTCACTTAAATTCTTGTCTCCTAAAACAGCCCTGCAGCTGGCTTTAACATCCGCTAAGAGGGTGAATGATTTATCTGCCCTCTCTGTCGCTCCGTCATGTCACAGAATTCAGGCTGACGGTAGTTCAGCTGATTTAAGACCAAACCCAGCTTTTATGCCTAAAAACATCACGAGCTCTTTTAAATCAAGAGCGATATCGTTGGAGGGGTTTTCCCTCCCCCCCACAGATCAGAAGAAGAAGCATCTTTTCATCTTCTCTGTCCGGTGCGGGCGTTGACGTGTTACATAGCGCGCACAGCTGTAATGCGTCAAACTCAACAACTGTTTGTGCATTATAGAGATGCATTTGCAGGTCGCCCGTTATCCATCCAGCTCTTGTCACACTGGCTGTGTGAGGCCATTTCTGAAGCCTACAAGCATCAGATTTAGAGCCTCCTGTCAACCTCAAAGCACACTCGACCAGGGGTATCGCATCTTCGACTGCTCTGCATAATGGTATGTCAATGCAGGACATTTGCACTGCGGCTGCATGGTCAACACCCTGCTCATTTATTCGCTTTTACCTACGTGATGTGACGGCTCGTTCCATGACACATTCTGTCCTTAGTGCTCTAACAGAATGAATATTGTTGTTTTTCATTAGAACTCTGTTTAAGCTCACATCTGTCTGCATGCTTCACAGTGTGAGATGTTGTTATCAGTCACAAGTTGTGTCTGTGATTTTGGTTCTATTGTCATTAATCAGTTCATGACTATTGTTACCAATCAGTTCATTTGATCAATAATCAGTTCATTGTTATTGATCTGTTTATACTGTTCAGCCATGAACCAGTTGGTTCATGCCCCCCCCCCCCCTCTTCTTTTCAACATCCTCTTCCCATTGAAAATTTCCGGGGCGTCCATGTTTTTGTCAGAACGCATAGTTACACAACATGCGTCTGTGCATGGTACACATAATTACGCAACGCGTAGTTATGCACTTGGGGAGCTGAGTGACAAGACGTTTTTTGGGCAAGCTTCCGCTTCATACTGTGTTCGAATGGACCCAGTGAGGCGAAGACCACATCCGCTTCGCCCTTAACCCATCAGCGACAGCCTTAAAGGGCGAAGCCTATACGACATAGAACGTTGGTTACGTACTGTAACCCCAGATCCAATGAGTATAGGCGTAGCCCTTTAAGCGTCGGGCCTCACTGGCTCCTAAATGGCTGAAGAAAAAGCTATTTTGGGAGCCTATTTCCCGCTCTTAACGTAATTTATACGGACCGGGTGGGGCCCACACAGCAGGTGGGCGTGGACTAAATTTTTTTCAGTGCTTATGCTGTGCATAACGGGATACACCCATCAGCGACAGCCTTAAAGGGCTACGCCTATACTCATAGAATCTGGGGTTACAGTATGTAACCAACGTTTTCTGGACTGCATCGCTATTTGCAACCGTTTTCTTGTTTTGTTTTGTGTTATTTAATTTTATTTTTTGTCCTTTCTGAACAATGTCTTCTCTCCTAAAATCTCTAAAACCCACGCTGGGCAGTACTGCATGAAGGTTATAATAAAGCACAATTTGTAAACGACTGTTTCGACGCACGTGGTTTTAAAGACTCCAAACAGCAGCAGAATCCAAATTGAGGACACAACTGCTTTTCATATTCCTTTGCCATAAATCTAACAAAATCCAAAATAAAACATTAAGTTTTACGAGTTAGCAAGAAAATATGTGATGATTTTGACGTTTTCCACCAGAACAGAGTCGAGCGAGCACACAATCAAGACACCATCAACAGAGGAAATGTGTTTAAGGTCTATAAAAAGTGCTTTAGTCAAGGACACTGTTTTTTGGAAGAAAATCTTGTAACAGTTAACTTATAAACTTTAATCATGACAACAACTCACAACACACACTTTATTTCTTTATTTCTTTATTTTATTTTTTATTTGGAATGACAATTAAAAGTAAAAACAAAGAAAGAGGAAAAAATAACAGTCATGCCAATTGACATGCAATTTTACACAATTTGTTCAAAAAGGAGCAGGTAGAAGATAACAATCTTATGATTTCCTGCCCCGTCATACACATCAATATATTATCATTTTAGTCTCCTTACACCAAATAACCCTTAGAATACTCACACATTAAATGATGCTTAAACTTCACATTCTCATCTTTGAATGTACAATTATTTACACATTGTCAATATCAGCAATAGCATTTTTGGTCTTTGAAACTCCCATCCTATACTAAATATTTTTCAATAAGCTCATTTTTATATTGTTTTTTTAAGCCGGCTTATATTTGTATTTTGTTTGAGCTCATCATTTAAATAATTCCATAGATCTACTCCACACACTGATATACAAAAACTCTTTTTGGTTGTTCTGATACATTGTTTTTTAAATTGTCCTTCTCCTCTTAAATTAAAACCCCCCTCTCTGTCACAAAACATTTTTTGAATATAGTGTGGAAGTTGACAGTTTCTTACTTTGAACATAAATTGTATAGTTTTGAATTTTATAAGGTCCCAGAATTTCAGTACATTTGATTTAAAAAATAATGGATTTGTATGTTCCCAATATCCCACTCACAACACGCACTTTAATGTTTTTTTTTTTTAGATCCAACAAACTATAGTGCTGCTCTCCGGGACATTTTGTATTCAAATTTTATTATGACACCAAGATGACAGCAGGTGTTAAATGCTAACTTTCACTGTGTGGGTTGAAGTGCAGATAAACAGAATTTGTTATTCATATTTGATATTAACAGTGTTTTACTTAGATGAGGTTGTTTTTGTGTATTCTGATCTGAAATGAGTATCTGAGTACAGATACTGCTGTTTGTCAAGCTCTCTCTGACAAAGTTGGGATTTTTAGTGCGAAATATACTTTTATCTATTTGATTAGCTCATGAGCTTTGAAAACTCTGCTTTGAAAGAGAAATGGATGTGTCTTTGGACTCTAGAATTTTATCTACATTGTAGAATTAACATTCTCAAATGATATGATTTTTTATGTCGTAGGTGACCTTCACTAAGCGTAAGTTTGGTCTGATGAAGAAGGCGTACGAGCTGAGTGTGCTGTGCGACTGTGAGATAGCCCTCATCATCTTCAACAGCACCAACCGTCTCTTCCAGTACGCCAGCACAGACATGGACAAGGTGCTGCTGAAGTACACAGAGTACAGTGAGCCGCACGAGAGTCGCACCAACACAGACATACTGGAGGTACGGAACAAAGGATGAGTTCAGTTTAGCTTAGATTAAATTTCTAAATTGAAGTGAGCTTAGCTAAGATGTGTTGGTTTAAATGAAATGGAAAAATGGTAAAAGGACTGTACTCATATAGCAGCTTTTTAACCAACCATCTACTCAAAGTGCTTTACAACACAGCTATGCTCTCATTTACCTCCACACATACGTTCATACAGCACTCTACTACATCTCTACAAAACTAATCTGAACAAATCATTCTAAAGAGATTAATCAGTGCTTTCTAACACATTCATACACCAATGGGACACACATCAGAGGCAATGAGGGGTTCAGTGTTTTGCCCAGGGACACGTCAACATGCTTAGCTCAGTTTACCTGAGTGAGTTAAGTTGATCTTACCACATTTTAGCTTAACTTAGAAGAGCTGAGTTTAGTTTAGCTGAATTTAGCTGTGTTGAGTTGGTCTTAGCTTAGCTGAGTCATGCTAAATTGAGCTGGGTTTAGTTTTGTTGAGCTGAGGAGGCTTTTCTTCAGTTTAGATTAGTGACGTTTAGCTGAGATTACTTATCTAAGCTAATTTTAGTTTAGCTGAGTTTAGCTGAGTTGAGTTTTGTTAATTTCAATTAAATTAAATTCAGTTTATTTATTTATTTTATTTTATTTATTATTTATTGGGTGTAACTGGGGCAGCATGGTGGCAGTTGGTAGAGCTGCTGCCTCTCAGCGAGCAGGTCTCCCTGGTTCAAATCCCAGTCCGGGGGCCTTTCTGGGTGGAGTTGGCATGTTCTCTCCATGTGTACCTGGGTTTTCTCCAGGTACTCCAGTTTCCTCCCACAGACCAAAAACATGCATGTTAGACTGATTGGTAACTCTAAATTGTCCCTAGTTGTGAGTGAGAGTGAATGGTTGTTTGTCTCCATGTGTCCCTGTGATGGACTGGAGACCTGTCTAGGGTGTCTCCTGCATCTCGCACAATGATAGCTGGATATGAGCACCAGTGACCCCCGCAAAAATGTGTGTGTGGGGGGGGGGGGGGGGGGGTGCTAGACCTGGAGCAATGCACATCCTCAGTTCTGGGGTACATTAGTAAATGTACTGATGCCATCTCCACAATATGTTAAAAGTTACTCGAACAGACAATCTTAGCTGAATGCAAAGGTTCGCACCATTCTGAAAGCCAGGGACACTGCCTTCATGTTTGGAAACTCACAGGAACTGAGAAGGACAAAGAAAGAGCTGGTTGCTGGTATTAAGAAGGCCATGGTCACATGTGAGGATCGAGGGTCAATTCACCTCACAAGACCCACAAAGCATGTGGAGGGGCATTCAGTGTCTAACATATTATAAAGACAGGAGTGAACAATGCCCTGGAGACCCATCACTGCCTGATGCCCTCAACAAGTTCTAAACACACTTTGAAGACCCGAACAAACCACCCAGCACTAGACTTACCTCACTACCAGACGAAGAGCTTTTCAGCGTGACCTCAGCAGAAGTGAGGAGTACTTTCAGGAGGATTAATCCACACAAAGCAACCGGCCCAGACAACATCCCCGGGAAGGTGCTGAAAGAACGTGTTGATCAGCTCTGCGAGGTGCTGGCCGACATCTTTAACTCCTCCCGTATCCTGGCATCAGTTCCCACCTGCCTGAAAACTGCCACCATCATCCCAGTCCCAAAGAGCTCTACAGTGACTGGTCTGAATGACTATCGGCCAGTAGCCCTCACCCTGATAGTCGCTAAATGCTTTGAAAAACTGGTCATGACCCACATCAAAACAACCATCAGCATCAACGAGGACCCCCACCAGTACGCATACCATGATAACCAATCAACAGAGAACGCCTTCTCCTCTGTGGTCTACACTGCTCTCACCCACCTGGAACAGAAGGTCTCCTATGTCCGTATGCTCTTTGTGGACTTCCTGTCTGCCTTCAATACCATGATCCCCCAAACCCTGATGGACAAACTACTTGCACTAGGAATAAGCCCCTCCATTTGAAACTGGGTCCTAGATTTCTAAACAAACAGACCACAGTCAGTGAGGATCCACAACTTCTCCTCCACCATAACCCTCAGCACTGACTCCCCTCAGGGATGTGTGCTGAGCCCTCTCCTATTCACTCTGATCACGTATGATTGTGCAGCTACCCATCCAGGCTGGCATATTGTAAAGTTTGCAAATGATACAGTGGTGGTGGGAGAATAACCTTCACATCAATGTGAAGAAGACAAAAAAGATGATCATGGACTTCAGAAGGAACAAGCCCCCCCCCCCCACACACACACACACACCGGAATATAAGAGGATCTACAGTGGAAGTGGTCTCCAGCTACAAGTACTTGGGTGTACACCTGAATGACAACCTCAGCTGGGGCAACAACACTTCCAGCCTGAACAAGAAAGCTCATCAGAGACTCTACTTCCTCAGGCAGCTGAGACGAGCTGGTCTGGGAAGCTCAGTCCTCACCTCCTTCTACAGGTGTGCAGTGGAGAGAATCCTGTGCTCCAGCATCATCATGTGGCATGGAGGCTGCACAGCTGCATAAAGAAAAGCTGTGCAGCCAAAAAAAAAAAAAAAAAAAAAAAAAAAAAGAAAAGCTGTGCAGAGAGTGGTGAAGGCTGCACAGAAGTCTGTTGGAGTCAGTCTCTCCACCATCACAGACATCTTCACTTCCAGATGGAGGAGGAGGGCCACCTGCATCATGAAGGACCCCACTCACCCTGCACACACACTTTTTGCCCCACTCCTCTCAGGAAGGAGGTTAAGGAGCATTAAGTGTAGAACCACTAGACTGAGGAACAGCTTCTACCCTGAGGCTGTTAGACTCATGAGTCTCTAACCAGAATGATCACTGTGAAAAGTCACATCATGTTGCTGCTGACCTGTTTCATGTTGCTCTGTTTATGTGTGCTCATCTGCTCACACAGACTCATGTTCGTGCTGCTGTTCGGCCTATTGTTTTTATGCTATTAGTGCTTAGCATATTTTTAGTTGATGTTTTTCTTAGTTCATATCTTAGATCTTATTACTGTTTTTCTTTTACATTTTATTGTTGGATGTAACTGGGACCCTGTGTACATAATTTCATTCCACCACATGTACCACATGTGGTGCAAATGACAAATAAATCTCTCTGACTCTGAAGTGCCCTGATACAACTTTGTTGTGATATGGCGCTATGTAAATAAACTGAATTGAAATTACTATTTCATTGTTTCTAATTATGTTTTGTGTTTTATATTTTTATTTCATACGATCTATATATATCTTGTTACTTTTTTTATTTATGCTGTGATCATTTTTGTTAAGAACTTTGGTAACAGCGTCTGTTTTAAATGTGCTATGTAAATAAATCTGACGACTTGTTGAGTTGACTTGACTTGAGTTTAGAGTAAGATAATATATAAAAGGTACAAAAATAAATAAAAATACAAAATCAATACAAATATCCATCCATCCATTTTCTTCCGCTTATCCGGGGTTGGGTCGCGGGGGTAGCAGCCTAAGTAGGGAGGCCCAGACTTCCCTCTCCCCAGCCACTTGGTCCAGCTCTTCCGGGGGAATCCCGAGGCGTTCCCAGGCCAGCCGAGAAACATAGTCCCTCCAGCGTGTCCTGGGTCTTCCTCTGGGTCTCCTCCCGGTGGGACGTGTCCGGAACACCTCACCAGGGAGGCGTCCAGGAGGCATCCTAACCAGATGCCTGAGCCACCTAAACTGGCTCCTCTCGGCGTGGAGAAGCAGCGGCTGTACTCTGAGTCCCTCCCGGCTGATCAAGCTTCTCATCCTATCTTTAAGGGAGAGCCCAGACACCCTGCGGAGAAAACTCATTTTGGCCGCTTGTATCAGAGATCTCGTTCTTTCGGTCACAACCCAAAGCTCATGACCATAGATGAGGGTGGGAACGTAGATCGACGGGTAAATTGAGAGCTTCGTCTTTTGACTCAGCTCTCTCTTCACCACGACAGACCTGTACAGCGCCCACTTCACTGCAGATGCTGCACCTATCCGCCTATCGATCTCATGCTCCATTTTTCCCTCATTCGTGAACAAGACCCCAAGATACTTGAACTCCTCCACTTGGGGCAAGACCTCCTCCCTGACCCGGAGAGGGCACTCTACCCTTTTCCGGCTCAAGACCATGGCCTCAGATTTGGAGGAACTGATCTTCATCCTGGCCGTGTCGCACTCGGCTGCGAACCGCTTCAACGAAAGTTGTAGATCACGATCTGATGAAGCCAACAGGACCACATCATCTGCAAAAAGCAGAGACACAGTCCTAAGGCCACCAAAACGGACCCCCTCAACACCTTAGCTGCGCCTAGAAATTCTGTCCATAAAAGTTATGAACAGAATCGGTGACAAAGGGCAACCTTAGCGGAGTCCAACTCTCACCGGGAACAAGCTCGACTTACTGCCGGCAATGCGGACCAGGCTCTGACACCGGTCATACAGGGACCTAACAGCCCGTATCAAAGGGCCAAGTACCCCATACTCCCAGAGTACTCCCCACAGGGTTCCCCGAGGGATGCGGTCAAACGCCTTCTCCAAGTCCACAAAGCACATGCAGACTGGTTGGGCAAACTCCCACGCACCCTCCAGGACCGTGCTGAGAGTGTAGAGCTGGTCCAGTGTTCCACAACCAGTACAAAAACCGCAGCTAAATGCAAAATGACAAAGTATCCAAAGATGTCATGAGAAGACACAGCACAAATCTTATAAAGGGAAAGCAAATTCATTGTATTGAATTTCAATTACAAAGGTGAGATTGGAAAAAAATGTTTACTCCCCTAACGAAGACTTAGACCTCCTCCAAAAATAAATAAATTAATTAATTAATGTTTTATTTAATATTTTCCCATATTATTTGTCATTATAGCCTAAACTGTCCCTAGGTGTGAGTGAGAGAGTGAATGGTTGTTTGTCTCATTTGTCTCTATGTGTCCCTGTGATGGACTGGAGACCTGTCCAGGGTGCCCCCGCCTCTCGCACAGTGATGGCTGGACATGGGCACCAGTGACCCCCGCGACCTGAAAAGGAAGAAGCGGGTAAAGATAATTGATGGGTGGATATTTGTCATTATACATTATACAATACTGTGTCTAAATTTATCCTACTTAATTATAGTGGAGTATTAGCATTAACTACCCCCCACCCCACTAATGCACATTCAGTTACCGTCCTTGAAACTTCCACAGCTGTCAGTCACTTCTGCAACTAAAATGACCCCCACCTCCACCAACCTCAGTTTTTACAAGGAAGATTGAAGTTACAGTTCATACTTATTCAATTGTAACAAAATAATTCATTTGATAACTGATTTTACTTGTGTCTTGACTCTCGACCTGTAATTCTATCGGTTCTGATGTCACGCTCTCATTTTTAATAAAATCTTTCTGTTCTGCATCAGACGCTGCGTAGGAAAGGCCTCGGTCTGGATGGCTCAGAGCTCGATGTTGAGGAGGGCGTGCAGACGACAGCTGATAAATATCCTCTCAGCGAGGGCATGGATCTGTCTGTGGCCCGTCAGCGCTACTGTGTCAGTCCACACACACACACACACACCTCTGCTTTCACACGTTCCACACACACAGATTTTAAAACATGTTCAGTTCAGCAGCTGTTGTTCAAACGAAACATGTTTGATCTCCAGGCTCCGTCACTGCTCTCACAGGAGGCTCAGTTCCTGGTGTCTGCGGGTTGTGAGAATGGTGTCTCCAGCTTTTCTGCGTCCAGCATGGGCCACCACAGACCCTCTGGATTTAAAGCCCTGGGCTCTCGGACCGGCTGTGCCAGCCCTGCCGCGCCACACTCTGCCTTCATGTCGCCGCATGCAGGTGAGCCAAACTCTGCACCTGAATCATTCCGAGACAAACGTTCACTGGGATTTCAAAAATTTACCATTTTATGTTTGAAATCTTAATGAAGCAGATCTTTCTAACTTTCATTAGAGGCACAGCTTGGCGCTCAAAAATGCATCCGCCACGTTTCTTAATAAATGATTGCTATAAAATTAAGTGTATGCTGTGTGCAGCTGCTGTGAACTCACAGGAAGTGTGTGGATGTATGTGTAGTACATTCATGAATTCACACAAGCAGTTGGCCTGTTTTGTGATACTGGCTCTCCACCAGTGTACCAGCAGCTACAACCAGTTTTGTGGTTTTAACGCACAGAGCATGCTGTCACATTAGCCTTTTCTCTTTGACATTTTCAACTATTTGGATTCATAATGAGGTCATTAAACATGAATCTCTTACTCTCCGGCACAGTTTTTCACTGGTTTGATAAGAAATGACTCACACTTTAGGTTTATAATTAGTTCAAAATAGATCCTGGCAGATAAAGTAAATATATATGATAAAAAAATAGATATGATAAGTGTTCAAACTGTTGCCAGAAAGGTGTTTGGTTAAAATGGTAGAAAGCAACAGAGTGAAGAATGTGACTGAAACTTTTCACACCCTGCACCTTTCTTTTTCTGGATAGGTATCGGCTACTCTGTGTTCTCCCATGGCAACATGAACCGAGCCCTGGACATGAAAAGCCCCCCTCCTCTGAGCCTGGCCAGTGAAAACCTGCGGGCAGATGCTGCCAGCCAGGGCATGGGGGCCACAAGGGTAAACCACTGCTCTGCTGCATGTAACTGGTACTACAACCACTAGCAGAAATTATGGAATTGCCACTCACTGAGGATGTTATCCATCCATCCATCCATCCATCCATCCATTATCTTTTACCCACTCCTTTCTTTATTGGGTCTCTGGGGTCACTTGTACCCATATCCAGCAGTCAAGGATGTTTTTCAATTGTTAAAATTTGTATTTAAAAAGTAAATCACAGGCTTGCCACAAAGCTATTTATTTAAATACTCCCATCTTTTGGCATTACAAAACAAGGAAAGCAAGAAAAAAAAGTAAAATTGTGGCCAGTTGCTATTTTAGATCCAGTAGAGGAAAAATAAATGGAATGACTGTAATTTGCAGCTCCAAAACAAACACCTGCATCAGATTAAATCTGATAATTATACTTCAGTTAAAAAGTGTGCTCACACCTGGGTAGAGTTGCACTTGGGGTCAAAAAATCCGACCCGACCTGGCCCCAGCCCATTGCCACCAATTCCGAACCCCGCCCGATCTGACAAATTAACAATAACTACAGGTCCGAACCCTCCGACATTTTAAATTAAGTTTTGACTGCTATGTAGTTATTAACGGTCGGTGGACGCGTGCGGATGAATAAAGGGGGCAGAAGATTGGAGCTGATGGGGGTTTTGTCCTTTCATGGCCATCAAAGTGCATTAAATCCCTGCTTCTGTCTGCATTCTGCATTATTCAGATACAGACCCTGCTCCGACATGTCGGATATTTTGTGATTTCACCTGTTTGGGTCGTCGGCCGTGAGTGTCCTCTGAGTGCCGTGGCAGAACGAACGTCCATTTGGGCTGATGGATCGCTGGCAGTATTCCATCTGAAGCTTAACTGAACTTTTTAACTATCTCAAGGTCAGTCAGCGCACGGTGAAATGGCTGCGTGTGGCTGGTGAATATATGGCAAGCCATGTTGTCATATAATTGGATCGTCAGCTGCGTGCATCCGCTGACTGTAAGAAACTGCCTAAAAGAAAAAGGATTTATAGACACAAGTCAAAGGAATATCATTATCATTCATATGAAATGGATATTTATGAAGTTGACCTTATGAAGAAAATGTATATTTCTGTAGTCATTGATGACTGTGGAGCCTGCACGCACCTGAGGGAGGCAGCAGTCATTTCATTTTCAAAAAATGCAGGTCTATTGTAATTTTAGATACATTTTTATTCCATCAGTTGAAAAGATGTTTGGTGACATTGATTTAGTTTGTCAAGGCGATAATGCATCTTGCCATTTAGCAAACAACGTGAAAACCTTCCTTCAAGAAAGATGTAATATCAGCCTGCACGTAGTCCAGATCTCCTGGTGGAAATGAAAAAAATGGTCAATAAGGTTCAAACCTGCAAAACTGATTACGACAGTAATGAGAGACAGTTATGATGAAAAATAACGTTTATCATTAGTTAACTCCATACCTGAAAGAATTCAAGCTGCTAGAACAGCCAGAGATACTGCAACAAAAAAACTATATATAAAAAAATGTGCAGTGTTTTTCTCATGATTGCATTTTCTTCCTTCACTTTATGTAAAATAATAATAAAATAAAAAAAATGGTGACTGACTGCAATTATATTTCTTTTTTATTGTTTCATTGTACCAGAAGGTAAAAATTGTGAAAAATCATAGTTTTGTGGCATGGCTATAATTTATATATTTTGATTGTAAGAGTGGGGATTCTATAGTTTTTGTCAGGGTTTGTGTACCCAAAGTGATCAATACAATACGTGTCACTGAATCAATGTATTTTTTGAAACTGGATTTATATACCGATGCACACATACAGTAGTTCTGCTAACCTGTAATTTCAGTTCTTGTAGTTACTCAATCCCACTTCTCATAAATAGAATATTTACAAGTTTTGTACAGAGTATACTGCATCAGACTTTTGAATGACTGTGTGTTTCTCTGCTCTTCAGAGGGGACTCTTGTACCAGGGTCTGCACAGCGGCAGCTCCATGGTAGCCATGGGTAAGGCAGGCTTCTTGAGTCATAGTCTGGGAGGATACGGCCTTCCCTCCCCTGGAACGTCTGGTATGTCTGCTTGGAATCCTAAACTCTGTGGGGAATATCTAAAAAATGCACCATAGATAAGAGATGGTGTGTTAAAGTAAGAGTTCAGACATTTAGTTGTGGAAAGGTTATGAACAATTAATATCTCACCTGTCATAGATAGCTCTTTGAACAGCCTCAATTTGGAGAATTGTTTCATTTTGACCAGATTGAGCTAATGGCTAGTCCTAGAAAAGCCAAGACATGATTGTTGTCTTTAAACAACTCCAATCTCAAAAATTGCATAGCAGTACTTTCAAAAGCTAGTTTATATATTTTTTTTTTCATTCATTCAACCTTTCTTTATTCAGGTTAGTCTCATTGAGTCACGAGGACTCATTTACAAGAGAGATCTTCTTTAGACAAAACCACAGATGAGGTACATACAACAATAAACAATAATAGAATGCAAATAAAGTAAAATAATAATTAAAAAAAGTAGTGTTATAAAACAAAATCAAATCAAGGTGCCTTATACAACAAGATCCACCCATCCATTATCTTTTACCCGCTTCTTCCATTTTGGGTCACGGGGGTCGCCGGTGCCCATGTCCAGCAATCACTGTGCGAGGGGCGGGGTACATCCTGGACGGGTCGCAAGTCCATCACAGGGACACATAGAGACAAATGAGACAAACAAACATTCACTCTCTCATTCACACCTAGGGACAATTTAGAGTTACCAATCAGCCTAACATGCATGTTTTTGGTCTGTGGGAGGAAACCGGAGTACCCGGAGAAAACCCACAAGAACATGCAAACTCCACCCAGAAAGGCCCACGGACCGGAGTTTGAACCTGCTCGCTGAGAGGCAGCAGCTGTACCAGTTGCGCCACGTGCCGCCATACAACAAGATAAAATACTAAAAAACTAAAAACAGGAACATGTTTGCTTTTTCTATTGAACTTATCAATTGTTATTTATAACAATAAATGATACATGCAATTGCAGCACGGTGGCGCAACTGGTAGAGCTGCTGCCTCTCAGCGAGCAGGTCCTTGGTTCGAACCCCGGTCCAGGGGCCTTTCTGGGTTGAGTTTGCATGTTCTCTCCGTGCATGCGTGGGTTTCCTCCCACAGACCAAAAACATGCATGTTAGGCTGATTGGTAACTCTAACTTGTCCCTAGGTGTGAGTGATTTGAGTTATTGGTTGTTTGTCTCATTTGTCTCTATGTGGCCCTGTGATGGACTTGCGACCCGTCCAGGGTGTACCTCACCCCTCGCACAGTGATTGCTGGACATGGGCACCGGCGACCCCCGTGACCCAAAATGGAAGAAGCGGGTAAAAGATCATGATGGATGGATGATACATGCAATTACTTTCAGTTATTATATATAATCTTTTGGTTATTTTCAAGCACTAATAGTGGCAGCAGCAGCTAGCTGTAGCCCGAGTGGTGCAGTCTGGGTCACTTCTTGCAAAAATATAAAATTACAAAATTAAATAATATGAAATTGCCAGCTGTATAAATGGTTATAAAAATGTGTGTTTAAGTGTTTTTGCTTGAGACTATAAAACATATGCAACATTACAAAATACAAGGTTTTTCTTTGAATGATCAAATCTGAGCTTGTATTGGATGGGTACTGGTTATACTTGTTCTTTAGGTGCATTTGATCCATTAGTCGTCATCTGAAGCTGACACTGTCGTGCCATTAGAATGATCGTGACTGTAAAATGGTCACAGGAAGTATGTTAGATTTGAAAAAACAAACAAAAAAAACAATCATGGATCCTACAATTTGGAATTGTATCTTTAAAGTTGCAATCATAATCTACTCACTTTTGTGTAGGTTTTAAACAGTTGTACAAATGTTTTTTGATATACAATATCTGTGCTATGGTTTATATATTGAAATCACAAAACTAAATATCCAAATAGTGGAGTATAAACATATGCAGCCCTAATGAAACCTATTTTCATTTATTTTTCATTATTTCTTCATCTATGTAATTATCCATGCATATCCTCTTACAACTAAATAAAGGGGAGCTGCAGCACCCTCCACACCCTGACATCCCACATCCTTTTAACTGCGGAACATGTACAGCTACAGGGTTAGCTTGTTAACATGAAGACTGCAAACTAGCACATAAAATCAAACATTTCGTACGAGGGTTTTGGACATTGATATTTTTAACGAGGGTCACCTTGATTTCTGAGTAGTTTCTACATCTCATATATTAGTCTCACCTTATATGTACGGACCAAAAACAAGTAAGAAAAAAAAATGTACTTTTGAAAATAAATGACATTTCTTTGTTTGTCTGGGCTGTGTTGTGATAAGATGTTTAACTTTATACTTGAAGCATAAAAATCCCAAATATAAAGCTGAACTATCATTTTGTAGATTGAAGCTATGTCGTTAAATCCTTTGTGCACCACTGACACAACATGTGGTCCTTTGTTGCAGAGTACAGCCAGCCTGCTTTTTACCACTCTGTGAGTTTACAGAGAGGAGCAGCGAACCCCTGGCAACCAACACAAACACCTCACGAGCCTCATGGGCCTCATATAAGTTCAGGGTAAGCAAATAACGAATTACTGGACACGTCTTGGGTTTATTTTGCAGGTAAATCACTGAACGGCCAGAAGACTGTTGCTCAGTTGTTTTCTGCTGTTTTGGCTTTTCAGATGAAATGAGCACAGACATATTAGTGATCAATGTGGTTTTATTGATCATTTTCCAGATTCTGAGTTCTCTGCATAAGAAGGAGACACACAAAAGATAAAAGCGTTGGAACTTTGCAAGAGTTTACATCAAACAAGAACAAAGATGCGTTAATTAAATGTATTCAACAGAGCCCTTTTTAGAAGATGGATGTCATGAAGTTTGAAACCTTTAATTGTATTATGCCACAAAGAGGCGGAAAGTCTGGCTTGCACTGTCAAGCTAGAGGAGGAAGACAGACAAATGCAGCCATGGCCAAATGTTCTTGGCAGGAAAATAAATCTTTACCTATTTTTAGGTGACAGGTTATTTCTTTTTCACTCAAAAAGTCAAAAATTCACAGCAGCTTCCTTCAACTGCTCCTCCAGTTTCACCTGCTGGAACCATCAGAGGAATCATCCATTTGACCAGCTTGTGAAACAAATAGAAATGACTCTCAGCTACCCCAAATTTTTGCTCATTTTTTGTCATTCTGACTAAATTATAGAGATTTTTGTGTTTGTTTAGTTCATTTGTTGCAGCGGCCATCATCACTGAGTTTGAATCCAAATGTTAATCAGTTGTAGATGTACACAGGGATGACTGGCAGCTACTACCACCCCAAATTTTAGCTCAATGTTTTTAAATTTGAGTATACTGTAGCTTTTTTTGTGTTTCATGAGGTTAATTAGCTGTATCTTGTAATGGATTTGAGTCCAAATGTTAATCATTTGTAGATGTGCATTCACTGATTACCTTCTGAGAGTTTCAGTTCAATCCATCCAGTGATTCTTGTCATATTTTGCTAACAGACAAACAAAACATACAATTAGGCAATTGCAATGTTTTTTTTTTTCCAACCTTTATTTATGCAGGTTAGTCTCACAACCTAGCACATGTTGCCAGGATTTCATGGCTGCAGGCGATAGTAAAAATCAACATTAGAGAAAATCACATTAATCCAAGAAACAAGGGAACCTTGAAATGACGTCATGTTTTTTCCTGTCCTTGTTTACCCACTAACATGAAGCGCTCACCTGGTTGGTTTTCTATCTTTGCTGAACGCAGGATGTCCAGCGGGGGGTGCTCCTTCTCCTCTCAGCCGTGCTCCTCAAACTCCTCTCATCTTCCATCCTTCAACCTCAGCATCAAATCAGAGCGCAGCTCTCCTGACCACATGACCTCGCCTCCGTCACCCCCTCTGCACCACCTCAGGCAGCACTCTCCAGATGCAGCTCGCCGGTCCCCTCCAGAGTCCCACCCGGCCAATAGGACGAAGGAATTTCATAAAGCCTGCTACTTACAAGGCGAAGAGGAGAGAGGGCAGCCGCTCAGGCAGTTAGAGATGAGTGATGACTGGCAGAGATAGCCAGCTGCAGCCCCCACCTCCCATTCAACAGCTGTCAATAAAACCAGAGTGGTCCACACCGGTCCACCATGTCCCAGAGTGGGACGTGTCTTTTTGCATCCTCTCACGGAGCTGGTCTTTCCGGGCAGGTGGAGAAATCTCTCATGCATCAGCCCTGAGCAGATAGATGCATTCAGACTTTTGCTTTAATTTTTTTCTTCCAGTTTGTGCGGTGAACAAAATAGTTTGAAATTTCATGATTTTCTTTGCAACTTTATAAATTTCGCTGCAGCAGCATAACGGGACCAGCTGAGTGTCTTCAAACATGCAAAACGTGTCTGCAGACTTTTGAAAAAGTGAACGTGCTCAGTTGAAAGGAAACGTTTTAATCTCTCTCCAAACTACCTTAAAGTTTATGCTAACTGCTGAAAGTTGCTTTGTAAACTCTTCGAATTGGATATTCAAGAGGATTGTGTGCCAGATCTGCCCCTTATTGATGCATTTTAAATTCACAAGTGGTTTCAGCAGAAACTGTTCTTTCTACCTGCTTTTTTATTTTTATTTTTTTTATTTTGTGAGATCAAATCAAATATCAAATGCAAGAAAAAAAATATATATATATGTTTTTTCTTTCAATGATTTGTCCAACTCAGAGTACTAAATCCAAGAAAAGGGCTCAAACTGGAGGACTTTGAGTTTTGAAGTGCACTCCCAAAAACAGACCATGTTAATAATCCTCATACTTTTGTGGTTTTGTTGTTTCAACATGTGTTCATTTAATTTTTAAATGAATTGTTTTACACCCTTGGCTAACAACACATGAAAAGTTAGTCAGCAGACACAGCATGCTGAGATGTTGTGTAAAGCAGTTTTAAGAAAAGCAGCACAATGTCAGCGGATATAAAAGTAAGGAAATTTGCTCTTAAAATGACGTGATCATTTGGATTAAAAAGGTTTTCTGCCTTCATAGATGTTTCTCATCGTTTACATGTTTTGGGACAATTTTCACTGCAGTTTGAAGCGGACTTGGATAAAAGTGAACCAACCATTTTGGACAATGGCTTTCTTTTACATTTAGGTTTAAAGCTTTGGCTGCTTTTATTTTTCCAAATGTTGGTCATCGTGTTGCCTCTTTATGTCTATCATGAATATTAATACATATGAGGATCAAGACATTTCAACTTTTATCTTCACAATTCTTAGAGAAATGTCAGAAAGCTGGATTTAAAAAATCACCTTGGTCCTAAAAGTGTGAATGTTTATGAAGCATTCACACTTTTCTTCCGTACATTTTCTTCATCTTTCTCGTTCCACAATTTTTGTGCCCTTTCAACAAATCATTTATTAAAACATTCAGCTCGTTCAGGAGAATGGTGCTATGATTTTTGGTATTGGCGCAACTTTAGCTTTTTGAGATATTTAGCCTTTTCTGCCACTTTTTTCTCATAGGAAATGAATTGAGCTCATTTTCCATCCTTAAAATTTTAAATCTGTTTCCAACCTTTTACTGCTCCTTTCACATTTTATTCCGGTTCAGCTTCATTGTGCAAAAAAAAAATAAATAAATAAAATTCAGCTACTTTCAGCAGGTTTTTTTTTTCAGCTGCTTTGTGATCCTTTTAGATTCTTTCTGTGAACTACAACATTTTTTCTGCTTGTTCTAACTTCTTTCTGCTAATTTCAGCTTATTTATGCAAGTTTCAGCTTTTTCTTTTTTTTTCAGCTATACTGTTCAGCTGTTTTTATGCTTATTTCACCTTTTTTTGCACTCATTTCAACTATTTTCAGCTTAAATCAGTGAAAATGTGCTCTTTCCACTTCCTTCTGGTAATTTAAGCTTCTTTCTGCCTTTTTTTAGCTACTTTTCAGCTGTTTGTTTTTTTGTTGTTGTTGTTGCTAATTTCAGCCTTTTTCAGATAATATCTATTCTTAGTGCTCATTTCTGCTTCTTTAAGTCCAACTGGGAAAACGTGTCTGCCTTTAGGCTTGTTCTTACATTTCAGCTACATTTCAGCACTTTTTTTTCTAGCTTCAGCTATTTTCTGATAAATTCAAGTTTTTTTTGTGGTAATTTATGCAACTTTCAGCCTAATTAACAATTTATGCTACTTTCAGCTTATTCGTGCTAGTTTAAATTACTTCAGCTACTGTTTAGCTGCTATTGTACTAATTCGAGCCTTTTCAGCTAATTCCACATTTTTAGCTCATTTCAGCTCTTTCCACTTCCTTCTGTTAGTTTAAGCTTCTTTCAGCATTTCAGCTACTTTTCAGCCTTTTTAAAAAAAAAATTAGGCTTTTTAAAGTTACTTTCCTAATTTTCTGCTAATTTCTGAATATTTAAACCAAATTCAGCAAATATGTGTTCTTTCTACTTTCTTCTGCTAATTTAGGCTTGTTCTCCAATTTTGGCTACAATTCAGCATGCCTTTTAGCTAATTTCAGCAGTTTCTCAGCAAGTCCTTCTGCAATAAGCATCCACACTGAATTTTCACAGGAAAATCAATTTCTCTAGTTTTCTTCTGTGTATGTGTTGCTGGAGCAGCTCTGAATTGTCCCCAGGTGCAAGTGAGAGAGTGAATGTTTGTTTGTCTCCATGTGTCCCTGTTGTCCCCTGTCTCAGTGAGTGACCACTGGACACCAACTCCCTTCTGACCCAGAAAGGAAAAAAAACAAGAAAATAAATGGATGTTGCACAAATCTGGTCTCTAGACTTCACTGTCAGCCAAAGATATATTTTCTTAAAACATTTGGTTCAGCTCAACTTTAGTAACAAACTACTTTGTTTCTTTTTTGCTCTTCTGTTTGTAAATGCCTCAGTTTATGACATTATGACAATATGGGATACATTGTAATATTTAGGGCAGGGGTAGTTCGGTGGTTTCAGTTACGTAATCTCGAGGCTGCAGGTTCAAGCCCAGGTTGCGTCAGGGCATCCAGTGAAAAACAGCTGCCAAACCTTTCATGCAGGTTCAATCACTGTGAAGACCCCTGCAGAAGGAAGCAGCCGAAGGAACAACTGTAATTATTAATCTGAAAGTTCTTCATGAAAATGTGTTTGTTTCATCTGCTCATTTTCAAAGAGTCATTTCCACTGATTGTGCTCACTGAGGGAAGTGTTCATCCTTTTAAATCACCACAGATATGGTTTATAGTTACTGTTAGTGGAGGATTTGCTGTGGAAAGAGTTCTGTTTTCATTTTAATACTGCCTGAAAGGATGAAAAAAAAAAATTATCAGTATTCATATGTTGTTTTTTTTTGGTTTGTTTTTGCCAAATTCTTCACCAGCATTTGTAGCAAGTTATTTTTTTCTAATTAAAATCATTGCAATTTATAACTTTGCTCCCTGGTCAGATGTATTTTAATCTATTTCAGACAAATTAAAAACATTTTTTGAATAAAATCTTTTAGTCAAAAAGTGCAATTCTATTGTCTTTTTTTGTCTGAAGTTGATAAAAGGTTCTTTATCGTGTAGCTCTCATGTGTCCATTTATGTATTTTTTCCCCACACACATCATTACCATGTCAGGGCTCTGTCATGCAGCTCAGCACGCAGCCACCAAAAGAGGGGAAGGAGAATGGACCACTTAAAACAGAACAATTCTGCATGAAATGACTCATTTCCACAGCTGGTCTTCTCAAAGTGACACCCTCAGAGATGAGTTTCCTTTCTGTTGACAGCCAAACATGGAGGAGTCGACTCCGGCTTGAACCAGCTCAGTCATCCGGGGTTGTGCAGGTCCTCTCCCCTGGGACCAGTCAGTCCAGTCTGTAAGGGCATGTCTGGGTCGGTGCACAAACATGCATACATAGACGCACATACATAGACATGCATGCATCACTATAGCAACCAGAGCCAGTCATGTCTGCCTGACATGGGAAGCTGAAACCATACTGAAAAATGCCCGAGGCCTCCAGCACACATGTAAAACACGTGATATGATATGAAAATGTTTTAGGTTATTCAAACGAACACTTCAACAGACCTGTAGGAGCAGCGCTGACAGTAAAAATACACAGGTACTTAAAAAAAAAAAGAACTGACAAGTTAGTTCTTCCCAAACTTGGAGAATCTGTGAAGTTTGGTAAATCTGCTTTAAAACTCAGACAAGACTGAAGTTTTAGTTTTTGGACCTGAGCATCTTAGGAATAAATGTTTCAGTCTTTCTCCCTCCTTAGATGACATTAATCTGTCCTCCAGCACTAATGTTAAAAATCTTGGTGTTATTTTTGATCAGGACATGTCTTTTATCTTCCACATTAAAAACATTCCTAGAACCGCCTTCTTCCACCTGCGTAATATCATTAAAATTAGAAACATCTAAAAATGATGCAGAAAAACTGGTTCGTGTATTTGTCACGTCTAGACTGGACCATTGCAATGGTTTATTATCTGGATGTCCAAATACTTCTGTAAAACATCTTCAATTGATCCAAAATGCTGCTGCCAGAGTCTTAACTGGAGTTACTGGGAGAGATCACCTCTCCAGTTTTAGCTTCTCTCCATTGGCTCCCTGTCAAATCCAGAACTGAATTAAAAATCTTACTTCTAACCTACAAAGCTCTCAACAACCTAGCTCCATCTTATATTAGCGATCTTATTGTTCCATATTTTCCTAACAGAGCACATCACTCTCAGACTGCAGGCTTATTCACAGTTCCTAGAGTTTCCAAAAGCAAAATGTGAGGAAGATCTTTCAGTTTTCAGGCTCCTCTCTTGTGGAACCAACTTCCAGTTTCTGTCCGTGAGGCTGACACATTGTCCAGTTTTAAGACTTTCCTTTTTAATAAATCCTATAGTTAGGGTCGGCTTGTTATGCTGCCTAATTGACCTCATTTCTTTAAATGGATTCTTAAAATTGAATAGTTTGCGTTTGATACTACAGTAGTCCCTCGTTTTTCGTGGGGGATCCACATCCTGAAGCCTGATAAGCAAAAAACTGCAAAGTACGAATAGAAGTAAATAGTATTCATGTAAACATGCATCAGTGACTGTGTGAGGTGCATAATGAGTGAATTATCCAAGGAACAATTAAATAGGCGTGTAGGATCAACTTAATTCAGAACTCCTGTGTGATGGTTCTTCAGATCGATATATGTCACGTTGACCAAATACCGATCAGGTATTTCAGCTGTTCCTGAGCCGTCGTGCCAGCCGTACGAGACAAGACTCATACACATGATGCCCAGATTTATTACGCCCACACTGTGGCTGAAACAGGTCATTGGTTTCTTGACATCAACTTTATATTAAATAAGCCTGTAATTTCTACCAAGCTCCAGGGTGCCACCATTTACAATCCACAGCAAGCTGCTGTTAATATAAGCTCAAGAGCCATAGCCCGACAGTTGGGAAACTATTTTTTAATATTCAAAGGGCAGCATCACTTCTCGTAACAAACGAGCAATACGGTGCAAGATTGTGCAGAACGTATTTATAGGTTTGACTCAAACAGCTGTAACTCTGCTCCTTTTCATCATGAGATGGTTTTAGTTCAACTTGGCAGGTGACATTCATTCGTTTAAAGAATACTAGGCCTTTATTACTATAAAGCTCACACATTCATTCGTTACATACACTCAGTGGAATATCCATTTATAGGTTTAGCTAAAAACAAGGTGTTTGCAGGCTGGTTGGGTGTGCAAACATTTCTTCCCGGGCTCTTGAGGACCATTAGGTTCATCATAACCACCCAAGATTAAACTATGATTTTCTCTGATGTCAAAGTTCATGCTCAATAATCCAGGTAAAAACATCCAACAGTCAGGTCCTCTGGACGGTAATACTCTCCAGAGGACCTGACTTAACTTTGCTGGATCTTCTCTGATGGTTTAGGTTCAGAGGTCAGGACCTGCAATAGGGCAAGACACACGCATTGATTGTCATACAGGATTACTTTAGTCAGTTCTTTGTACCCATGATTTATCAGAAAAGGTAAAATTAAGACAAAAGACTTAAAATACACAAAAAAAATTTAATAAGCTGCACACTCACAAATTTAAAGCAATCAAATTTTACTGCCAAAACTTTAACACACCATGCATCTAAAACAAATTAAAAAAAAAAGTCATAAACTTCACAGTATGATTTAAAAAAACGAAAAGAACTACAACTAGTGACACACAGAAGACAAATAAACAGTCAAAACAGCAACTTTATTACGATGCAAGTGATGACTTCTAACTACGTATGATACATAAATATTGAATAACCAATCTGTACATAACTGGTTATTAAAATCAACTAAAAACTAAACAAATCAGTGAGCTAATTAAAACGCTGCAACCTAGAAATGTTGCGGCAGGTAGTGTTTGAAAGGAACATTCGTTTTTCACATAAGAAAAATAGGTTTAAGCTATATAATGATTTTATAAATTCAGATGAACGAGGGAAGAGGAATTTAACAGTGACTCAGACCCTGAGCTCTCAGGCACTTCGGATAAAAAGCAACAAATCTTCAGTGTTTAGCTTCCCAACACCCCCCACACCCACACACACACGCGCACGCACACACACACACAGGTCATACACTTTCATCTACTCGGTCTAAACTCCACTACATAAGATTAAGGAAAAATAGCACTCTTAAATCGGTTTTTCAAGGGAATCAAAGTCCCTCTCACAAAATATAACATATTCCTTCCAACTCGAGCAGGAAGCATCAAAATCTGCACAGGTACTAACTAATAAATACTAGAAATGCAGCAATAACTGTTATCTGTTGTGAACGCTGCAGATAACACTGATATATAATAAGAGCATGAGATACTGCAGAGAATATTCCTATAAAGAAGCTGAGGTTGGGCCTGCAGAGTAAAATAACTGGGCTTTTCAAACGTGATTCTGACTATCAGCTGCAGTAAATCAACATAACATACAGAATGGTGCACGCTATTCAGTTTACAAATATTTAACAATATTTATCACTACACAAAGAAAATGCAAACAATGCAGCCCAACAACTTTGTACTAATAAATTACAAATGGATATTTTCTTACCAGCCCTTACTGCATCTCTTTCAGCTAATTCATTTTCTTGAGGTCTTAGGTTCCTCATTCAAACTAAATTTTTTATTTAAATGAGTAAAAAATAAAAATCACTAGAGAAAAGAAAACATGCTGAAAATGATTTTAAAAAGCAAGCGTTCTAATTTCTATAATTACATGTAGTTGATTAATTTTCTACAGCTACTTCATTTACCCTTCTAACTACAACATACCTGTTGATGAGCAACAGAAAATAAGTTACAGCTCTGACAAATTATACAAAAAAAAAAAATACAAAAAAAAATCAGAGCAGTGTTTTCTATTGAAATTGAGGCATTAGGTTTTATAAATCTTTCATTAAAACAAATCGATGTAAAAACTGAAATGTGTGAAAACACATGTCATGTAGCCTCAGGTCAAGAGAACTTGTCTGTTATGCAACTGCAGATCTCGTATATATTTTATTATACATGTGTAGGCTACAAATGTTGACCTTTATTATATTATATTTATGGTTTTTGTTTAAAAGGTTTTGTTTTTAATGCCACTTATCCGTTAACCAAATCCCATATAAAACTATAGCATGACTTTTCTAAAACTAAAATTTAAGAGACAAAACAAGGATAAATTTTAGCAACTGCATCTTGAGCTCTGTACTGTAGCGCCTCCAACTGGCTGGAGTTGTAGGTGCATCCATTTAGGAAATGGCTGTGTTCAAATTCACAATTAGACCTCACACAAGTCATCAAGCAGCAAAGCCTAAGCAAAGAATCCCAGAAACACTTCGATCAAATGAAATCAAATTTGATAAAGTGACTGAAATTGACTAATATGACTGTTGGCTACCCGACCATATCTTAGAGAAATAATGTTACTAATGACAAATGTTAAATCAAGTCATCTGGACCAGTTTCTTAATGGGATGTCACTAATTGAACTTTTATGTATATGAATGTATTTGTTCAGAGCCCTGAGATGACTTCTGTTGTGACTTGGCGCTATATGAATAAACTGAAGTGAAATATTTCTGGGCATTTCACAAAATCTCTTCAAAACAGAAATCCACAGTGCTGTGTAATTCTGTTTTGACTGCAAACTCAGCGTAGTCGCCTACAAAAAGTTAGATTACACTAAACAGAGAACTATTACTATATTTTACCAGCTCTGGACTGGTTTTACCATCAGGACATCACAGCGTAACACCTTTGTTTCAGTTAGGTATCGAGCTCTCTGCTGTTATGGAGCATGTGAAAAAAAGTCAGGGATGCTTTAAAAAAAAATGTTGCTGTTGCTCCGTCATATTTTTCTGTATAAACGAACTTAAAGCAAAGAAAACAAAAACAGTAGCAGGTGGAAAACATTGAAGTTGCTTTGTGATAAGCGACCCCAGTTTGTGTACATTTGTCTGATGCCAGTAGTCTGCTGGTCAACAAAGCAAATGAGTCCAGTAATAATCAAACTCATTTACAACAAGAACTGTCTGTAATTTCATGAAATGTCTTCTATAGTCTGTAAACATCAATTAGGTTGAACAGCAAATACAGACTTATAGTGTTCAGATTTCCTCAGTTCTGCATTAAGTACTGATGGAAATAAATCCCAAACAGAGAGCTAATCACTTGACAGGCAGCCACCCACCAGGTGAGGAAGGCAAACAAACCGCGGAAGAAAAGGGGAGTAAGGACAGACCGCAGTGCTGTGAACATCTCTAACAGATGAGCAACTGTGGCCTGGATGTCCTCCTCCATGTCTTCCACTCCTTCCTCATCCTCATCGAGACCATCAAGCGGCACAGGAGCTGCTGTGGGCATCACCAGTGCTGGTGTCATCCCAGGGATCTCGTCAGTAGCTACACCCCAGGAGAAGCCTCCTGCAAGAAACCAAAGCATGTTAGATTCCACTGAGAAGAGTTGGAGCAAAATGTTTAACACATCTGGCACTTTGCCACGGTCTCATCGGTTCTGCACCACACTAATTAAGGGCCTGCCCACTGTCAGTACCCACCCCCACTCAGCCCAGTTCATGGGATCATCTTGTTCGTGGTTTAAAGTGAACTGCTCCGAGGTGACGACTTTGATGTAAGCAGACAGCAGCCACTGATTGGTCAGTGAAGCTATGTCACTGGATGACCCGCTTAGCACATGCATGTCGAGTCTTACGGACAGTCCGTAAATTACACAGATTTCCCCCATTTTTTCATGACTACAGAGAAAGTCTTACAGATTTTTCCAAAACTCAGCTTCAAATTTATTTTACGTGTCGGAGTTGGCCCGTAAGGAAATGCTAGTCGCCTCTCCCCCTCCTCCTTGCTAATGGTGCTTTCAACAAATAAACAGAACCAGACCCAAAGCTTGACCCAATCAGAGCAGAGCGGGTTGTGCTGTCTGTTATACAGTGGGTGGATCAGTGTTTCTAACTTAAGAGAAAAAAATGCAGGTGAGAGCACCAATCAGTGTTTCCTGGACTATTTTCCAAGGAGGACACCTAGCTACCCTAACCAAAGGTGATGAGGTAATTAATTATTAAACTGCATATTAAATGTGTTCGTATGGAACCAATCCACAGCAGCTGGGGGGAAATACCAGAACTGATGCATCGTTACCTGCACCCCCTCCCGCACCGCACCCCAACCTTCTCAGGACTTTTGTATTTAAAATCTAACTATAAATTAAATGTTCATGTGTTCTGAGCACCGTTGTCATCACATAGACCTGTACAACTTGCGCAGCACGTGACTGAACTCCAGGTCCAAGAGAGAGCACCGCTGCGGGAGTGCCCTCAGTCTGTGTTTCTTATGGTGCTGCTTTAGTTCTTATACGTAAACACTAACACTAAAAGATGAATGATTTGTATGTCACAGATTATTAAAAAAAAGTGTCGTCTCTGTTTTTTAATTTCCCCCCAAACTTAAGAAGCTCCCTAGCCTGTGAGAGACTCAGTTCCAGGTGTTTGCAGCTTATCACAAATATGTGAAAATTCAATTCTACGCTGTGTTTAAAAATGGTGTTGCTGTTTGAATGAGACGAACTTGATTATATTTAACTGTACTGTGATAAACATAATTCAATAAATGATCAAGTATGATCATCCTCTAGGTGTAAAAAAAAAATTAATTCAGTCAAAATGTTTATTTCTGCTGCTGTGAGTAACTCTCTTGTAAAGTCTGATGAGGAGGAAGAGGATGAGGACGAAGAAGTTTCACTCGAGCAGCTCCTGCCACGTAGCTTGGAAATTCCAAGAAGTCCACAAGATAGTTGACTGAGAACGATTGTATATAGTAAAATTTGTAAGATACTTATCAAATTATATTTTTCTTAAGATTATTTTTTTGCTTTTTGACAACCAAAATTTTTTGCTGACAACCAGATTTTGTCCACTGGACAACCTAAAAAATGTCCTTATGTCGACACCTGCTAATCTTAGCATTGGTAATATTTTTTCTCACATTTATTTAAAAATCGAATTATTCTACATACTGATATATGCTCCTATTTCTATTGTTTTGAAACATTTTAAAACGCTGAAAAAAAAAATACAACTTAAATTCAACTTTTAAAGTTATGGTAATTCTAAACCTAAGCTACTTTGAATTACTTCAATTTAATCAGATTTGATAAGTGACTAATGAGAAATTGTGATATTTATATTTAGCAAATCTAAAAGGACCTAAACTGATGACTTTTGTTCAAAAACAGTGTGACATCAAGTTGCAGCTTTCTACTTTAAGACCTATTGCTAATTTAGGCCGACTGTCTCCTCAACATGACCCAATTTGTAATAAAACCAACATTTTAAATGTTGTTCTTGGCAGAGAAACTGAACACGCTCATTTCCTAAAGTATCAAGCCAATATTTTATGGTAAGTCTATAAAGGAAAGGCTGAAATGTGTGAATGAGACGATGAAACAAAATGATCGTGAGGAGAGAGGCTGTGTTGTTCATACCAAGTGCCTTGAGTGACAGAGTGGAGAAGAGGATGAGCAGAATTGGAACCAGATACTGAAGAGTGACTACTGTCAGATAACAAAACACACGTGTAACCTGAAAGATAAAATGGAAATTGTACTCAATTTATTTATTTTTTTTATGTTTAAATAAAAACAAAACAAAAAAATCTTGTTGAAATGTGAAATGTTTGTTATTTTAATGGAGGACAGAAAAATAAATCTTGCTGCATTGTAAGTGTTTCTGACCTTCCTCTGGATGTCAATGGCAGCAATTCTTCCCGCCTCCTTCTTCATCTGCTCCACCCACTTCTGAGCCAGGTTGAGGTAGGCCTGCAGGTGGTAACGGGTCAGCGCCAGCCGCAGCACACACAGCGCCACAACGATCCACAAACGCATACCATCAAACGCTGCACTGGACACTCTGCAAAAGGGAGGTTACAAAAGATCAGCTTATTCTTGAATGCAGTTTATTTTTTACTCTTAATATAGCTTACTTCTTATGAATAAAAATCAGAAATTATGTATACCCACTCACAGTGTAACTGAAGTTTTTCCCATAGGTGCTTTGGCCAGGAAGTCCCTAGCAATGGGCTTCACCCAGAGAACCAACACAAGGATTGGAGATAAGAAACTCATGTGCAGCAAAATCCTGCTAAGACACGTTAAGAGGCGTCAGTGAGAGATAAGCATGGTTAAAGTCTGGTTATACCAGCACAGGGACTACTTACTGGATGAGCGGGCGGTCTGAGTTCATCTGCACAGCATCTAGATGAGTTTGAGCCAAGCGCAGTCCAGGGAAGGCCAGGAGGGCTCCAATATATGCACAGACGGCAGCCAGGCTGAGCTTCACTGTCAGCTTTGTCACAGGGATTCTGATATCAATACATGCAGAAACGATAAATAACACCACTGTCAGCACGGCTGCTTCTAGTAAGGGTTTATAGATACAACAAGATATAGAAAACACTTCAAAAACCAGACATTCTTCCAGTATTTAAGTTTCAGTTTGAAAATTAAGACACTTACGACCAGTCAGCATAGCCCTGCTGTTTGGCAAAGATCTCCAAATTATCAAATAGGCTGGAAAAACCAGGCTCAAGGCCAAATTCTAGGTAGTCCTCCCTGACCACCAGAACCAACATGGCCACCAGCAGAGATAGAAAGCCGAAGGCGAGGCACACCGAACGCTCACCTCCCTCCTCAGATCGAAAGTAGTGGCTCATCAAAGTGTGAAGAGTCTTTCTGAAGGTTGTGGATTAAAGGAATTCAACCAACAAGATTTAAGGGAAAACTGCAAATCCTGACATTGAATCCAAGCAATAAAAAAAAGGTTTTAGTTATTTTAGCAAAAATCTCTCATTTGAGGCTCATATAAATTAATTACAAAAATTATATTACCTGATATACATGTTATATTTACAAACTCGCTAAAACTCAAACTGCCTGAAACAAGATAATAAGCACATATTGCACCATTATAAGTAGAGTTCTGAGAAATGTCTCAGCAAAAAAACAAAAACAAACAGATGACCTGACTGAACATTGTTGGATATAAGTGGAGTTCTTGCACTTTTCCCTAAAGTTAAACTCAAGCACTTTCAAGTTATTTACCGATGCATTTTAACATTTTAAGGCACTCCATTGTTGATCGTAAACATGTTCTTTATCATATACACTTTCAAAAAGTGCATTTTGCATCCTCATCAAATTCAATCAAGTGTTATACTTTTAAAAATTGTGAAATGTAAAGATATGCAAGAAATTAAAGTCTCTTAAAGTCTGTCACTTATCTTAAAATAAGCCACATTCTAAATGTATTGTGGGAGCCACATTAAAACCAAGTTTCAATAAATAATTTCACTTTAAAATCTTTTAAACTCTCCTGTTGCTTGTGGGTCAAAATGACCACTGAAGCCTCTTGTTTATAAAAAAAAATCCCTAAAAAATTAATATTTGGTCTTTGAAGAATGCAGCTCTTTTAAAAAAATGTAAAAATATATATATATTTTTTTTTTTATTCAGAAAATTGTACAGTTACACTTGCAGATTGAAGGGGCTAAGACCAAACTACAAAATCTGATTGCAGTTGTGGCAATAATGGGCTGTTCTGCTTTGGGAGTGGGTGGGCAGATGTCAGTGAGAACATATCTGTTCTGATATGTGTTGAAAGTGTGGAGGTTGTTACTCCTGATACTGTAGTGGTAAAATTAATTTACTGGAACTAAACAAAAAAAAAAAAAGCTTTAAAATGCCTCTGCTACAATTATTATATATTACTACAATTACAAATGACTACAGACATGTCTGTTACAAGTTATTTTACAGCTGAAGGATACAGACCAAAGAGAACTATCAGGACACACCAAATGGCTCCAATATTGATCTCTTTGCTGGCGTCCACCATGCTGTAGTAACACTCGGTGAACAGGAAGACACCTGTTGCATAGACCGCAAAATCCACAAACCACTGGTACTCCAAGAAAAAACGCAGCACTTGGAATAGAAAGAAACAAAAAAATGTTTAGAAGAGTTTTTTGTAATGAAATATGCTAATTAAATATCAGCTCATTACTTACTTATTTTATAAATAGGTAATTAAGCTTAAGTCTACGTACTCGATCTTAGGGCATTATACATGCTTGCAAAGCTTCATGGACTTATTACGTTAAATTGTTTTACCAAGTGCATCCATCATGTTGACAGGAGCTTTCTCCAGGTGAAGGTCAATGTCTTTGGGCACCGTCAGAGGCTTGTTCTCTCCATTCTGTCTTCTATGAACAGAGACATGAAAACAATAAAACTGCTGTTGAAGAAATCTTGTTTAGGTAGACGTTTAAGACAGATCTGCAGCCACTCAAATTAAAAATATAAAGCTATAAGCGTGCTTGCCAACTTTCTACTTATGAACAAGCTCAAAATAAGAATTCAGGCTAGATGAAATAAAAATGGTAAATGAGCAAAAACAGGCTCTTCTTACCGGTCTCTCCTGTTTTGTTTGGGCATCTGCTTTCCTGCCAAGGCACACAGTTCTCCCTCTGAAGGGTGTTTGAACCTGTACAAACTGGAAACAACGGCCTCATACGTAACCAGTCCACGGCAGACTGTGTGCACAATGTATAAAAGTAATAAGATTGTATTACCTGCCGTTGCAGAGGAGCCAGCGTGCAAATGAGCAGTGTGGAGCCATCCTTTGCATGACGCTGGCAGTCAGCAGGCTGACCACCAGCTGAATCCCCATCAGCGCCTGCCGGAGAAAAAGATAGATATACGTTAGCTTTAACCACGACTGTCTTACAAAGAAAGACTAGCAGACATCAGACCTTGAAGTTAACCAAATTTAGACACGTGTTCAAAGCCTCTGCTGAATGAATGAAACTTAGCAGATGGTTTTACAGCTAAATTTAGCAGAACCTCCACCACCTGTCCTGTCAGCCTTTCTTCCGAGCGTTAGCCAAACTAGTTAGCATTAGCGAAGTCGCTTTCAGTAGCTCATTTGAACTTGATAAAAAACGTACAACGCTGCTTAGAACATAAAGTATAAGTTATTGCGCTTGTAGAAATAATTTTACCATCTCCACAGTCAAAAGAAGCCGTCAACCCCAAAGTAGCCGTTCGTCTTCATGCGGCAAAGTCATCTAGGAGCCGAACCAACGTGTGAACCGCAAAATGCCCCGGATGTAGTTGTGGCCCGGATGTAGTCACGAGTTGCTTTCAAGTACAGAGCTAAAGCTAAGACACAGATCGCTACTTTGGCACTGCCGTAACAGCTTAAAGTCAAATTTACCTATTTCATGAAAGAGACAGCTTAGCTTAAGTTTATTTAGTTAAAAAGGTTCGTAGCACAAAAACAGGTTAGAATGATTAAAAATTAACGCCAGTTTACAAAGCAGTTTAACACACAATCTTGTTTCCCCGCCTCCCCACTAATAAAAACCAGTATATTCGGTGTTCATGAAGGCATCAGTACTTCCTTTGCCGGTGTTTCCTGTGTGGAACAAAGGAAGGTTGCAATGATTTTAATTACACTTAAATTCCATATTTAGTTTAAAATAGTACACAAGCATTGCAGTGAAAACACATTTTTAAGCTGGAGACCACTGTACAGTCTAAGAAACACTCAGTCAAAACATTTTTTTATGCTTTCACAAGCCTATGTTGCTATTTTTTTATGCCTTGATAAGGTTTTTATTCTGCCACTTACGAACAGTATGTCAGTGGGGTGTTATAATTAAAAAAAGTTATTTCTAATGCAGAATAATGACTCAATTAAAGTCCAAACCGCTATAGATTAAGGTTAATTAGGGTAAATCTTTCCTAATGCAAAATTCCGAGTGTATTTTTGCAACTTGCCTGTTTATTTATGTTTTTTTATATATGGGTCATGCAAGTATTAAAAAAAACAAACAAAAAAAAAACCGTCAAGGACCTACCCAAGCACAGGCCTATAACATCTGATCATCCTGACCTGATGACATCATGCCAAAGATCAGGCACAGGCAGGTGTGTGACTGCAGATCTCCTACTTCCAGCTTCACATTCAAAACTTTCCTTTCACTTTCCTCCCAGGCTCTGATCGAGGTGGCAGCTTCTGTTTTCTCCTCCCCCGTTTTTTTTCCTTCCTCCTGCTCTGCTCTCTGTGTGTCTGAAGCGCCTGGGTCTCATCTCCCGAACATAAATTAAGAAGATTATGGATTTGGTATCGTGGGCGTTCAACTCTATTGATAAGATTTTTTCATCAAAGCGACAAGGTCCTGGGGAACCGGCATGTCCAGCTGAGACTCACGCTGTGGGGTACGTCATGGATTCGTGGGGAGTGTGGAAGATGATGTGCCTCTCTGTTCTGTCTCAAGAAGATGTTGAAGACGTTTACATATTTGGACTTATGACAGCAGGGACTCTGATTTTGGCATCGGCGGGGCTCTGTTTTATCGACTTTTGAAGAAGACATAGGCAGCAGTTTTGGCCATGGAAAAGCTCCCGAGTCAGTGTGAAGGTCTGGTACTCGCTGTGGGAACTTTAAATCGTCTGGTCTATGAGCTTAACCGTAAGGTGGAGGCGATTGAGAATCGCAGACCACCTGCGGCTTCTGGGACTCGTCAGCGTGGTGGGTTCGACCTTGAAGGAGACTCATAGCATGGATCAGTGAAACTTAATTCCACAATTAGGCTTTTTCGGAACCAGAACGCCCAGATGGACTCAAGGCTGAAGAAAAAAACCTGTCTGCCTGAAGAAAAACAAAATCACGATTATCTAATCTGACTCCCAATGGCCTCGGTGACAGGCTGACTATCAAATTTCTCCTGGGACATGAGTACCCAAGGACAAAAGCTCCATCTATCGCACCCCCC